TGAATACAAAAAAGGTCTGCTAATAATGGGGCGCAATTGGTACCCATGGGAATTCCAATAGATTGTTGGAAGAACTGGTCTCCAAAAATCACATAGATATTGTCAATCAGAAACTCAAGCATCTTTTCAATGTCAACTTCAGAGTACTTGTGTGTACCATCAGAATGTTTTTTAACAAAATAATTTTGCAAATGACCAATTTGCAATGACAAGGTAAGTAAATTTACGAGTTCCATTTTTATCGAAAAAGCAGCTGTCAACGATATCAAATGTATTCCAAATGTACCCATGGTTACCATTTACTTAGACTTAAATTCTAAATAGTTTCTTTATAGCGTAAGTGGTAACAAGGTGTAATGTTTTTGCGAGAATGGTTTCTTTGTTTTTCTTAGTCTTTATTAAGGCTTCATAAACATTCAAAGGAGCTGAAAATCTAAATTTTCCCAACTTTTCTGGCTGTTACCATGGCAACCAAGACACATAACAACGAAATTTTATTTGATATTCAGTACCAACCAGACCCAACCTGACACAAAGCAGTCCCAGAGCAGTCCCGGGGACTGCTTTCTGGGACTGCTAAAGCAGTCCCAGAGCAGTCCCACAGCGGTCCCAGAGCAGTCCCAGCAGTCCCAGCGGTCCCAGAAAGCAGTCCCAGCAGTCCCAGAAAGCAGTCCCAGCAGTCCCAGTGGGCGGGGTTAATTAATTTAATGGGCGGAGCTTACTCAGAAATGAGATTACCAATAAACAATGTAACTATAAAAGGCAGTTGAAATTGATGATCCATTTCTTTCTGAGCAGTATCAATTCTCATGCGACAGTCATTTTTTAACTGTTAAGAAAATCACACTACGCGTATAGAAACAAATAATAAATATTGAACAAACACCTATAAATAACATGAATATTTAAACACAGTTTTGTGGTATATTAATTTTTCACCAAAATAAATCAATTTCTAAATTACTGTGATTGATATTGGTTTCCATATTTATTTATTTTTTTATTATTTTTTTTTTGTAGATAATTAAGCTTGAGTTATTTATTTTCTATCAAAACTAGCTTTAAATAGGCCTTATAATTATAGAGCAAGGCCGATTTCCATACTATACTCTGAATGCAGCTTTCTTAAGTACTGGAGCTTTTGAAAAATTCTTTGTGTATTATTTTTCAGTCATGATTATTTTCACTGACTTGCCAATTTAATTATCGTTAAATTATCTATGTAACAGAAAACAATAATACTTTTATTATATAAACGTTTGAGTGTACATCTGTAAATCACGCGAATGGAACCCTCAGATTATGTTCAAAATTAATTAATCCCGAAATAAATTTATACACATTTATTGAAACGAAGATTTTTTGCAGTACATAGATTGAAATTAGTGTCATTGTTGACCAGCATGTTCAGTGATGTGTAACACTGATACCCAAATAACATGCGTTGACTTTCTGCTAATCATGCCCGAAGGCGATTGAAACGTCAGGTGTTGACACCATTTTATACATTTGTATTGCTTTTTATTAATCGGCCAGGAAAACACAAACAAAACAAATAAGAAATATGTCACAATTCCCAATATTTTAAAATGTTTATAAATTTACTCTTTTAATTACTTGTTTATAAATAAAAAACAAATTCATAAATAAATCCCCCAATAATTGTTCACAAATATAATGTTTTAAATGACTGAAGAATGGTAGAATAATTTTATTTCATGGTCATTTAATAAATTATTAGGTTTTATTTGAGGGCGGTAAAAAATAGCATGGAATGCTCTTTTTTAGCATGCATATGGTTTTAGCTTTTTCAATTTAACCTGTATTAAAGTTTTAATTAGCATTAATTAATTAAATAGGCCTAGATATATTTGTTTTTTCAAACACCTGTATTAAAGTTTAATTTAAAGGATAAAAGTCATCTCCTGACTTCCCTTTTAACTACTTTCATTCTTTAAAATTAATTCTAGACTACAATTGTGTAAATTTACAGCCCCTGAAGACATTTACATGTAGTAATTACATGTATATCTATCTCTACTTATTAAAATGTTGTAAAAAAAAATCCTTGTTTTTTTTTTTATTCTTTATCTTAAACACCTCTCTGCTGAAAGTAAACAAAACAACAACAGGGAGCCTGCAAATTCAGAATACACAAGGGGCGGAGCTATCATGTCACTCAGAACCTTTTTCATGCATGAGTGAACAAAGTAGTCCCAGAAAGCAGTCCCAGGGACTGCTGGGACTGCTGGGTCTGCTTTCTAGAGCAGTCCCAGAGCAGTCCCACAGCAGTCCCACAGCGGTCCCAGAGCAGTCCCAGAGCAGTCCCAGAGCGGTCCCAAAGCAGTCCCGGGGACTGCTTTCTGGGACTGCTTAGGTGTCAGGTTGGGTCTGGTTGGTACTGTATGTTTCTGGTGTCAAGTTGTAATAATGGGCAATGTTTCATTAAAATCGGTGACCACGCGTGGCAAAAAAGTTTAAGTGGTTACAAAGAATCGCTATTAATTTTCTTCCTTTTACATTTAATTCAATGTAAATGTCTTTTATTTTCCTTAATTATACATAAACAACACTAATGTTGATTCACTTTTTCTTTATTTACAAACATATAACAGAAATTGGGATAAAATATTCTTGGATATGCACACCTCAGCTCCAACTATGGTACCATGGCCCCATTTAATTGGATATATTTTTATTACTTTATTGCGGCAGAGTTAAATTAATTAAAAATCTTTTTTTTTTATATATATTTTTTCTTAAAAACTAGCTGAGCCATTATGTACTATACGCCATATTTGCTTGTACCCAATTCATGTTTTGGTTTTCATTCATTAATTCTCATAAAATTTCATTGGCCAGTAAGTCTGTACCCAAGTAAATTTTATTTAACCGGTTTTCCTTCTATAAATACATGTACTGAGGCACGGGCACATTCCTGTCAGTATGGGAAATTTAACACTGACAAATTACCAGCTGCCCGTTGTCACCACTTTAAAATTAAATTTTTGTCTGTTCATTTTTTTTATAATTTATTTGAAGTCCAATTAAAAAATTTAAAGAGACAGTACGGCGCATCTAATCAGAAAGTAGACTTGATAAAATTTTCCGATAGGATTTGGATTTTTTTTTACTACTCCTAAATGTATAAATTTTCGAAAAATTACAAGTTTCATAATTGAATAATTCTTATTATCTCATTAAAATTAATAATTATTTATGCACCATAAATATATACATAGCAACGTGTTAGCGTTCCCCATTCCATGCTATTCACGCATGCGTACTTATCATAAACTACACAGCATGGTAAAAGAGGGTAGGTGGTAAGCTTGACAAAGTCAACCGAGAAGAAAAAAAAAACAACTGAAAATGGAGATTGAAAAGCGAATTCACTGACCAAATTTTAGTTTCGGAATAATTTTATCGTTGGATGATAAAGAAACCGGAACTCTTCGACAGGTTTGTTGATAAATCATTGATATCATTTCTAATTTCTCCATCGCTTTCAAAGAAAAAAAAGCAGTGTTAACTCAACATAAAAATACACATATATGATATATAAATATTTGCTATTTAAAGGGTAAATTTCAATGGAACAGTCCTGAAAATATTTGTGACGTTTTGCCGCGATAACGTTCGATTTGGTGATTTTCTCTTCTCGGACCTATACACAAAACGTCAATATTTGTACTTTTTATTCTTAAAATATGTCCGAAAGCAGATTTAAACTTCACAATTAATAATTTTTGGAAAATTTATGATATTTTGCTTTTGAAAATTCCTGTTACCTCATATTTCATTAAAACTGTAAAATCTACAGTCTAAGAACGTGACATTCAGAATTCACGTGGTACAAATAAACAGATCAAAGATTGCTTCAGGTTGTATGACCCTTAGATTTCCGGCAGATCCTAATTTTGTTAATTTTGTTTGAGTAGAGAATATTCATGTTTCTCAAACTGTTGACATCAACCTTATACCTTATTTCTTAATGATATATTGGGTAAATATGACTGAAAAAGCACAGGTTTTGCAGCAGTACTGTCGCTTTAACAGGTCGAGGAAACTATCTTATGTGGATATTGTTGTCATTGCGCACAGCGATGCTTACAGCGGACAATGGTCTAATCCAATGAATGAGCCGAAAAGCATGATGGTCTACTATATGTTTATATTTTACTACAAACACGTGGGTCAGGCAAATTTAGGACGCGATTTCAAATGACTGCAGGAAAGTCAACTTGTCTAATAATTATTTTTAATGTTTTTGTGAAAAATACGAAGAATAGGTACTAATTAAGATTTCCCGTGCTCACATTAACAAACAAAGTCTATTTTCCGTGTTAAATAGAACGTTGAAATACCGCCCACAAAGTCTGGATCTGGATCTGGATAATTACGTAGCAGGGCCTTCCGGCATAAATGCTACGGGAGAGAGAGTTTGGGCTAGTCCCACTGGTGCACGGCTACTCGAAAAGTAGCCACTGTCTTTGCACACACAACACTTTCTTCAAGCTGGGTCCAAGCTATCACAGTTCTTGGAAAAATGAATGTCTGAATTGATCCTTTTTACAAGTGAACGGTTTGAAACATCTTGAGTTATTTGTGACTTGATTTGTAATTATATCAACTGAGTCGAAAGCCTTGAATGAGCGCGCACTGATCTTCCGTTTATTTTTGTTAATAGGAGTTAAGTAGTCATGACTTGACAGGGCTGGGACAAGTCCCTCAACCACCTTATAGAAGAAAACTAATCGATTTGCTTTCCATCTATCCTGTAGAGTTGGGAACTGAAATTGTTACTCCAAGGTATGAATGACTTTTGAGTTATCGATAGTATGTAACATATTTTAGCGTTGAAGCGCATACCCCAAAGCTCCGCCCATTTTCCTAATTCGTGTAGATCCTTTTGAAGTGCTAAGTGATCCTCTCGTTTCTTTATTGCTCTATATAACAAACAATCGTCTGCAAATAAACGAACTGTGGATCGTACTGAATCAGGTAAGTCGTTGAAGTGACAGGAACATCCGTGGTCCCAGTACAGTTCCTTGGGGTACTCCTGAGACAACTTCGACTGCTTCAGATTCCTCGCCATCTACCACAACTTTCATCAGCCGATTTGTTAGGAAATCACTTAGCCATGCGTTTATGCTACCATTTACTCCATACTTGTTAAGTTTATGAAGAAGTTTTTTTATGTGGTACAGTATCGAACGCTTTACTAAAGTCCAAGATTGCAATGTCTCCTTGAGAGCCGAGATCATGATGCTGCAGCAGGTCATGTACTGTTGGATTAACTGTGTTTCACAGGAGTAGCCGGCCCGGAAACCGTGATTGAGAGAGGTACGCAGGTGAACTAAGACTGGGTATAGGCATTTTTATGCAAATAAACGATTTAAAATGCATAAGGACTATATCTATTATACAGAGAAAGTTAAAACTTATTGTCTTATAAATACTTGGTACACACGACATGAGATAGCCAGTACACATTATGACGTCATATTATGACGTCACTGTTCTTTACAACACGAGATTATAATGGACATCAACAAAAAGGGCATGCTCTAATATATTTAAATAAAACAAGGTGTATTAAGAAGCAATATATTTCAAAGATTGCTGGTATTGCTGCACAAATATCAACGCCTCAGTTGTATAATTTCTGTTTGTAAAATATTAAGTTGAATAAGGATAAAAATGTACAGTCCGGTATAAGTTTCTTCAAATTCTGATCGAATGAGAAAATGCCAAGGATTTGTGCAGCAGTTTTATTAATCTATAGGATATTCTTCTTAGCAGTACACAATTTTTATATAAAAATAAATAGGGTAATCCCTTGCGCCGAAGCTGTTTTGTTGATGTGATTTATTACCTCAATAGGTTAGATCAGTGACGTCATAATATGAAGTCATAATGTGTACTGGCTATAACATATCGTGGGTACTAAGTATGCATAAGAAAATAAATAAAAACTTTCTCTGAAAAATAATTTTACCTCTTTTGCGTTTTTATTAGCTCGTTTGCATAGAAGCGCCTATACCTTGCCTTAACTCACATGCGTAAGTATATTGTTTTCTTCTAAGTGGTCCAGAATGTGTTTGCAGATGACGTGCTCTAGAAGTTTACATACGACGCAAGTGAGTGAGACAGGTCTATAATTCTCTGCAAGGTGAACATCTCCTTTCTTGAATACAGGTGCTATGTTGGCACAGAGCCAGTCATGGCGGAGTTTTCCAGCATCCACAGAGTGTTGGAATATAATAGCCAATCCTGGGGCAAGTTGGGTTGCACACGTTTTTAGTACAATGTTTGGGATCTTATCTGGGCCCTGCGCCTTACAGATATTTATATTCATTAGTAACTTTGCCACCCATTCACTGGTTATGTGTAGTTCTGGGATTGGTTTTTCCACTCTCTTACTGGTCACTGGTAGGCATGAAATTCCATCTTCTTTGGTGAATACTGACTTAAATTGTTACACCAATAATTGTGCCTTATCTTTGCTCCCACTCAATAGTCGTCGCATTCTTTTAGGGGTGCCACACCAATGAAGTCTTGTTTTCTGGATTTAACAAAACGCCTAAAAGGTTTAGTGTCATTTTTGTTGAGCCCCGTTTGTATAGTGTCATTGATATAGTTGATTCACCAGTAAATCAAAATCCAGTTTTTGCAGCCCGGAGGACCGGGCTGCTCTATGCATATAAGTTTAAGTGTTGGTATATGGGGATTGAGGTGGGAGAAGTTATTCAGAATTAAAGATTTTCTAAACATTAAAAAGATTGTTAATCAGAATGTTCTTTCCCTTTATAAATTACGAGATACACAATATATTTACTTCCATAAAGTAAATCTGTAAAAATATATATGTTTTTCATATTTAATATATAGATTTGCTTATCTTTTACTATCGAAAAAACGACAGGTCCCTTTTTTTTAGAACATCGAATTTTACTTATCGCATAAAAACGTAAAAATGTACTTTACACAGTTCGTGTTTTATATTCTTAAAGTGAAAGATATTTTTGAAAATAGGTGATGCGTGTGTCTGGTTTCAAATTATATTTTATGCAGCCAACATTTACTTGAGGAATTGATAAAGTTTAAAAGGGTATCGTTTTTGTTCGATTTTCATCCGAATATAAGTTTTCAAAATATTCTCGACTATCGTCTCCATCATTTAGACGCATGCCTTTTTCACACATGTCGAAGCGGTTTGATGATAAAGACTCATTTCCATTGTTTACTTTATTTATTTCCCGGGCGACAATTGATGGTTACATCAATGTTTTTTCTTGTTATAACTTGGTATATGTAAATTTGCCATGCTACTGGTGTTATTCGTTGTTGCTTTGTTATTTTTTTCTAGAAAATAAAAGTTAATGCATTTATAAAAAACATAAGTTTATTGCTGCACGGCATTTATTTTATACAGAATTAATTCTCATGTACATTGATCATAGATCGTGTATTGAGTAGCATATATATCAAAGTTGTATACGTAGTAAACAATGACAATATGTGAGTACACCTCAGAGTCGATTGTTTTGGACCAGGTATTATTCAAGTGAAATTCATATTCACTGATAGTACAGCACGGGCAAAGGTACCAGGCAATTGTCAACAAACGAACTTGTACAATGGAGTGTAGAAAACTCAAATTTTACCGTTATAAAACATTTATATGTTATATTTGAGCATGGAATTAGTATACAAATATGCATTGAGTCCATATTTATTATATTATATAATTTCCCAAATTTATTAGTTCAATGTATATCTTCCTAATGTTTACAGAGATAATGATATGCTGTTGTTGTAAACCATAAATAAGTTGAATGAAAATGTTTCAAAATTTATTGAATTTTACTTCCAAAACTAACAACAAAAGTTTCCTTTCATTGAGCAACAGTCCTCATAATGTATAACAGAAATCATATTATATATTTAACAATAACAATAATTGTAAATCTATCACAACATGAATAACAAATAAATATATTAAAAATTGATATCACATATGCTGCAACACCTGGGCCGAGTCATTGCTTGAAAGGTAGTCACATTTTTATCAAGTCGATCAGCATCAGATATTGGAGGGTGGTGGTCTATTATTCTAACTATATGGTAGCCTGCCCCTGCCTCTTCAATTTCATTGTCATCCCTATTTTTTGTTAAAAAATAAATAAAATTTTCAATCCTCTAAATATATCTCATAAACAAATACCAAAACGAGTATGCTCAGTGACTAGATAATTCGTGAAATTAATATTAGCTGATAATATTTCTGAAAATCGGGAGTCCTACCTTTAAAAAAACTTGTTTTACTCTCAGAAAAGTGGTCCCTTGATAATGTCAACGTCTGGTCGAATAGATTGAAAAAATCTCTTTATATCCTGACGATATGGTAAGAGAGTATTTGTTTGTTTTTTTTGGTTGTACATTTCCCCTTTGTTATTCCGAAGTTCAACATAAAATCGCCGCAGCAGACGATCAAGTTGTTCACACGTTAGGCCTTCAAATTGAATCAAATTCTGCACTGATTTGTTTAGAAAGTAAGTATTCCCGAAAAATGTTAACTGATATCCTTGTTAATCGTTTCGTATTCTCAGCCTCAGAGTTCTTCACTATATCTTTTAAGGGGATGAAGGACACATGGTCACATGACTTTTGTTAAACTACGTCATAGTCTCCATTTATATAAGTGCAAAACGTGTAAAGCATCAGTTCTTGTATAAATTTTTGACAATTTTTTTCTTTAATTACCATCTTATATTAAAAAAATAAAAAGTTTAACATTCTTGTAAACATTAATAAATTATGAAAAAAGATTGATCCACTCCTCTGTTTCCCTAAACTGCGCGTCTAACAAGTCGGTGACGTCATACACGATCTGCTAGTACAGCAAGATCATACTCGGTGAATACAAGGGCGGTATTATCTTATGTAGGTATATCTTATTTCGCTTATTTAGTTTACGTGTGACGTCATAGTTGGTTTTTCCCGTACTCGAGAAATGTAAACATGACAAGTTTTTTGTCCTGCTTATGTCGTCTTTAACGATGTCCTGTGCAAGATTGAGGTCAGCTTCACCATTCGAAATTTTTACAGTTATTCAATAATTTGAAGGACTTGCATTTCAATGTAAATTTAAAAATATTGAATGATAGGATTTTTTGTAAATTACGTTTTTTGTTGTTTAAGTTGTCTTAAAAAGTTCGTAGTTTTCCCTATCCAGATGCATTGTGATAGATGAAACTTGCCTTTTCGAATTTTAAACCCAATTCATACTCTGAAATATTTTAAAAGATACATGTTCACTTACATATTTTTTATATATGCTTTAAAAATCCAATTATGGAAGAGTAATGAGCCCGGAAACATGGGGAATTAAAACGCCACTTAGATACTGTAGGGCATAATATTTGTCAATCAATATCTCTAAAATAAGGTAAGAAACCTAATGATATAACTGCTTTAAGATATGTGGGACATACTTAATAAGAAATATACAAAATATGAAAAAAAAAAAAATTGAATGACAAGTATTTTTTTCAGCTAAAGGTCCTTCTTCCCCTTAAATTTTCCTCACTACAACTCACAAACTTCACTTGCGAGCTTTCGAATCTTTCCACGCCATATTTGATCTAAGCGAAAGTGAAAACGAGACAGCTCATGCGAGTCAATATTCGCTTTCAGCGGTCATTATCAAAAAATAATGACTTCATATTGACAAATCAGATTACCGGATTTCACAAAGTTATATTATATTAAATAATAATGTACATATTGTATTGGGTGTGTAAAATGCTTGGGAAAATGCATCATGTCTTTCCGAGAGCGATTTGAAAAACTAGTCTTTTCGAAACGTAAATGTTGTAGTTTTTGTAGTAACCCATAATGCAACACATTTAGTTGATTGGTAGGTTTTCTAGTCACGTTGGTGCCTCATTTGGCATGTACATTTATTCTGACGTCACAGAAAATAGTTTTCTCGACCTGGTAAAGTCGTTAAAGAAAGAAGTAAAAGTACTACAGAATCAACTGAACGTGATGGACTAGAAAAACAAATTACGAGCCAAGAACTCCATATGTTCAGCGAGATCGCACTGTTCCAAAAGTCCCTGACAATAACATAGATATAGAGGATTAGATAGAAAACGTTCAATATGCAGCACGTGGTATGACAGAGGAAGATGGGGCGGATTTAATTGGCAAGTAAGTATTCGGAAATGCACGAGACGAAATTAAGTATTTGTCAAGAGACACACGAAAAAACCAGCTACAGATGGTTCAAATTTTGCGCGATGTGTTCAGTGACTTAGACAGTGCTATAAAATTTAAAAAAAATTCTTGACAGAAAAAAAGGATGAAACTATAACACTGCTTTAATATTCCTACGGTTTGATTGATATGATAAGAAAAAAAGCTCGCAAAGACTCATCAGTATTCGGATAGCAAGCAAAATAAGACATTGTGTGAACACTTTTCAGAAAATGTCAGAGACCAGTATCTACGGAAACATCTAAAACGTATCCTGCCCACGCAATCGGAAATTACATTTATGGAACTTAGAGAAAAGGCTATACATTGGTCAGAAGAGGAAGAAAATGGCGATGTCTCGTTACAAGAATCACTTGAGAGAAAATCAACTGAAAAACTCCAAAATATTAAAGTGAAAAGAAAACAGAAGTATTGACAGGAAAAAATACAAAAGGTAACAGAAAATAAAAATGAAAACAAAATTAAGGAAGTTACCGAAATATTTAAGAAACAATCGTGTCGGTTAAAGAATTTAACAAAGGCTGTGAATTCGACACAAAATGATTATGAAACAGACTGGTAGAATTATGAGCGACCACTTACATGCTTCTGATGCAAAAAGCAGTGACACAAAGCTGCAGACTGTCCAAAAAAAACAAGATTCTACGAATTCTGAACAGGAAAACAAAACCCCTTCGTAATGCCGAGCCCCGTTATAGAGGGGAGTGAAACGGACTCATTTAGAATGAACACACGCTTAGTTGGTAAATGTCCTTCAATTTTTGTAACAATATATATAGTGTGTAATATTAATTGTTTCGTTGATACTTGATTATCAGTTTCTACAGTTACGGATTTTTTTTAACGAGAAACATCTCAAGTCAGCAACCAAATTAAATACAGACACTGTGTTCTCTTGTTGGATACATTGAGGTCAACATTGAGTTATGTTTTTGTAAACATTAGCAGTTTCTTTTCCAGGTGTGTTCGAATGGCTAACTGTGCACATATCTTAAAATGATCTGAAAACGTTAGTGTATTGGTTTTACTTTCTTACATTCAATTCTGACTTTTCTTAACTGAATTTTTAATATC